GCAAACCATGCAAGACCCCTTAGAAATGCAGAAAAAGCAAAGCAGAAAGCAAGAAAACCATGCAAGACCCATCGGAAATGCAAATAAAAAGCAAAGCAAAAAGCAAGCAAACCATACAAAACCCATCGGAAATGCCAAACAAACCCCACAAGACCCATCAGAAATGAGGAGGGAAAACCAAAAGCAAACAAATTCCCCAAGATGCATCGGAAATGAGGGGGGGTGAGGGGGAAAAACCAAAAGCAAACAAACTCCCCAAGATGCATCGGAAATGAGGGGGGGAAACCCAAAAAGCAAACAAACCCCACAAGACCCATCAGAAACGGTGGGAAAAAAAAAACAACCCCTCCAGGACCCATCACAGCACAGAAACATAATCAAAAAACAACCCCTCCAGGACCCCTCACAGCACAGAAACATAATCCCACCACCCAGACCAGAACCACGCTGCAAAACCCACCCAGAATAGTTTTTTAAAACAGAAAGTATCCCCTTACCTTTCCAGTCAGTCCAAAGCCTCCTCTGATCGCACTTACTCTAACCGTTGGGGTGAAAGAGCTACAAAGATGCAGCCTATTCGCCACCAACGGTTAGCAATTTGAATTCCCCGCCTTTTTTTGGTTGTAACGCAAAGCTCCGGCTGCAAGTCGAAGCAAATTTTTGTGGCCGGAGCTGGTCGTAACTCGAAACGGTTGTTATGTCAGGACATTCGTAAGTCGAGGCACCACTGTATTATAACGACCAGTGCAAAAAAAAAAAATAGAGAACTACAAAAGAGGAAAAACAAGAGATCTCTTCCAGAAGATCCATTAAATCTTGGGTGTATGTCAGCACACAAGAAGCTACTGCAAGGACAAATAGAGAGACAGAGTAGTTTGCTCATATAGGCAAAAGTATCAGACAAAGGTGCATTTTTTTCTCTGTAGCTGTTCAGTCTATAAACAGAACATATCATACAGAATGCTGGACCAGATTTAGATGAAGGACTGAAAACTGGTGGAACAAATCTCAATAATTTAAGATATCCAGATGATACTGTCTTACTGGCAGAAAGCAGCAATGACTTGAAACAACTTCTAATGAAAAGCAAAGAAAAAAGTGACAAAGGACGCATGCAGTTGAACATTAAAAAGACAAAAATTATGAGTACTGAAACTACACTTTAATGCTGATAATGAAGAATCTGAAATTGTTACAGATTTTATATACATTGATTCAATCATCAGTCCAAATGGAGATTGCAGCCAAGAAATCAGAAGACTGAGACTCAGAAGGGCAGCAATGAAAGAATTAGAAAAGATCATCAAGTGTAAGGCTGTGTCACTGGAGACCAAGGCGAAGATCATTCTTCCATTCAAAATTACTACCGTGTTTCCCCGAAAATAAGACAGGGTCTTATATTAATTTTTTCTTAGGGCTTTTTTGCAGGGGATGACTTATTTTTTTCATGTGCAACAATCTACATTGATTCAAATACAGACATGTCATCTTCTGGTTGCTACACAATGGTGGAGAGTGGGGTTTCACTTAACCGGGGCTTATTTTGGGGGTAGTACTTATATTATGAGCATCCTGAAAAATCATACTAGCGCTTATTTTCAGGTTAGGTCTGATTTTCGGGAAAACAGAGTATGTACCAGTGTGGCAGAAAGTGAGGAGGAATTAAAAAACCTTGTAATGAGGGTGAAAGAGGAGAGTGCAAAAAACGGCCTGAAACTCAACATCAAAAAAACTAAGATCATGGCCACTGGTCTCATCACCTCCTGGGAAATTGAAGGGGAAGATATGGAGGCAGTGACAGATTTTACTTTTCTTGGGCTCCATGATCACTGCAGATGGAGACAGCAGCCACGAAATTAAAAGACGCCTCCTTCTTGCGAGGAAAGCGATGGCAAACCTTGACAGCATCCTAAAAAGCAGAGACATCACCTTGCCAACAAAAGTCCGAATAGTCAAAGCTATGGTTTTTCCTGTCGTGATGTATGGAAGTGAGAGCTGGACCATAAAGAAAGCAGACCGCCGAAGAATTGATGCCTTTGAATTGTGGTGCTGGAGGAGGCTCTTGAGAATCCCCTGGACTGCAAGGAGAACAAACCTATAAGTTCTAAAGGAAATCAACCCTGAATGCTCACGTGTGAAAGATGGAGAGTGAAAAAGGCTGATAGGAAGAAAATTGATTTACTGTATTTGAAATATGGTGCTGGAGGAGAGCTTTACAGATACCCTGGACTACCGGAAAGACTTATATGCAGATGAGGCTTGGTCCATTTGTGGTACCACCAGTTATAAGATCTCATAGGGGAGTACAATTGGAAAGACTGCTGCTTGCAACTACCTTGGATTAATGATGTCAGTCTTTATGATTCCGGTTTAGACCAGCAGCTAAGTAGTTTTCTCCATTAAGAATATTCATAACTAGTTTTGAATCCTGATTAAGTGAGAAACTGTTTAATCACTGGTGGACAGTGCCGATATACCATTTAAAGGAGGGTAATGTACTTTCTATTTAAACATGTTATAACTACATATAGTATTTGGTTTACTTGCTACAGTAGAATTTTCAACTTGTAATGAGTTTTGGTGTTGTTACCAAATTAACAGAAATTTAGGAGCATATGGATTATATTTCATGAATTTTGATTTCAGCCATACATTAAAGGGGTCATGGACCGCATGGGGAAACTTTTGAAAAAACACAACCTACAAACAGTATTCAAGCCCACCACAAAAATACAACAAATGTTACAGTCACCAAAGGGCAGAAGGGACCCCTTCACCATTGCAGGAGTATACCGGATACCTTGCAGTTGTGGCCCGGTATATATTGGAACCACACCAGAATCAAAGAACATGAGAGACACTGCAAACTACACCAACCAGAAAAATCTGCAGTAGCTGAACATGCCCTAAAACAAGCTGGACATGAAATTCTATTTCAAAATACTGAAATACTGGACAACACCAGCAATCATTATGTCAGACTGCACAGGGAAGCCATTGAAATCCACAAGCACCAGCAGAACTTCAACAAAAAAGAGGAAAGTTTGAAACTCAACAAAACTTGGCTCCCATCTCTGAAAAATACAGCGTGCAAAAGGTCAACGAACCCTACCCAGCCACAAGGACCAGGGATCACTACACACAAAAGACCAGCTAATGACACCCATCAATCACAGTGACAGATAATCTCTCCTCCTTATCACAACAATACACCCACAACAAGACACACTAATCACCCATCTCCTGAAAAGAAAAAAGCCTATCTCACAGCCATAAACACTCCACTCCCAAGCAAACCACACCAGAGCACAGAGTGCTGTCCTCTGAAGATATTGGCCACACAGACTGGCAAAACGTTAGGAAGAACAACCTTCAGAACACGGCCAAAGAGCCTGAAAAGCCCACAACAACCAATAGCTTCTGAGCCTGATAGGTGCTAAAACCTGTGACTAAAAATAAAAATCTGAAGAAATTACCATTTATTCCAGGGCCACTACCACACAGTCAACCAACTAGTATATAAACCAGAGATCCTATGCTGTATCTTTACAGCATCAAGCTGTACCAGGGTAGTCAAAATACTGTCCTTCAGATGTTGTTGGCCTGAAACTCCCAACATTCCTCATTACTGGTTATGCTGGCTTGGGCTGATGGAAGTTCCAGTACACTTGAGCTACACCATGAAGCCATTTTTGTGAGACAATGGCTGAAATCCTATCCACGCAACCAGTGGAATCAGCAGGAAGTAATTTGCAGGAATTAAAAGCTTCCCACTACGTGCACAGCTCCCAACTAATCCTTTTTATTATTTGGATGCCATGGGAACTGAATTAAAGAAATTCAATCTCACCAGTTATGACATTCTAGTAGCTGTAATTTTCTTCCTCCTATCCCCTGGCTCCCACAACTTCTAAACTATGAAACAGATTATTAGGAGAGCAAGAGGAGCTGCAGGACAAAAGAAGGAAGTATTTTATTTCCAAAAATTGCCCTCTGCTGATGACATCACAGACATCCTGCAGGGGTAGTTGTGCAACAGGATTTTAGCTATTTCATCAGGAACCAAAAAAACCCCCAGGGTTGGGACAAAATTCACTTCACCACATGTGCCAGATGCAACAAATAATTAATATCTCACCACATCACAAATGTGACCATTCATGCACATGAAGGACCAACACCAGTGAAAGCAACTCCATCTTCTAGCTTACTGTATTTTCTTTGCAACTACATTCCGCAGTTCAAGTTATACAATTAATATGTAAACCAAGAGTCCAGCATGTTTTATGATGGGATATACTAAATGTGGTAAGGCCAACTGGTACAGAGGACATCAGTAAAACATTATCATGGCCCTGCTGACTACTCAAAACTAACTCACACCCAGTTCGATCAAACTCTGACATACAAGTGCATAGGGTTGCACAAGAATACAGCATCCTGTGGTTACAAGATGAATGTTCACACCTTGGCTCTGGGAACCGAAGCAGGGAGTGAGAGAACACATGCGAGTTTTTTTTTAAAGCAAAAAATGGTCCTCTCTTTTTAATCGAAGGAGAGGAGAAAACCAATATGAAGCAACAAGGAAGCACAGACAACCCCATGCTGAATGCCTGGTCCAAAGCTGTGGACTAACACTGGAAAGACACACAGGTCGCTCTGATGCTAGTTTATCGGGTCATGGGTCTCTTTTCTCAACCCCTAGCTAACAATGTACCGGGATAGACGAACTGGGCTTCATTCAGGTCCTGGAACTAACTGGGGACCCTAGGCTGCGATCTCCGCCCTCCGCGAGGCCCTGCAGACTCCTCGGGCGGGCAGGCGGGTAGCTAGGGAGTCAACAGGGACCTTTCCCTCTCTTCTTCCCTCCCTCCCTCCTTCTTTCTCGCCGCCTCCTCCTCCTTCTTCCTGGACAGAGGCGGGTGTGACGTTACTCTTAGCGTCCGGCTAGGCCGCGAAGCCCCGCGTTTTCCGCAACCGCGCCTTCCCTGAGCGCTTACAGGTCGGCGCCGAGCGCGCTGAAGCCTGCATTGAGGCAGGAACGGGCGAAGCGCCTCCAGAGCACATCCCGGGAGGTGAAGCGGCAAAGGCGGCGGCAGGTCTGGCCCAAGCGGCCCAAGGCCCGCGCGTCCAGGTACGAGCAGATGAGCAGCAGCAGTTCCTCCGGCAGCGCCCACAGCGGGCAGCGAGTCTCGGCCTGCGGGGGACTGCCCGGCCTCCCCATGGAGAGGCAGCCTCCCTCTCTACCCCTCCTCGCCTGCCCGGGCCCGGTAGCGACAAACTCAACAACAGAGCCGCCGCCACTGGGCCCGGGTAGGCCGCCGCTACGCAGGGGGCAGTCGTTCTTCCTGCCCGCCGACCTGCGCACCCGCCCGGTCGGTCAGTCACATGGGCGCGTCCCGCCCTCCGGAGAGCAGCCTTTGGGAAGGGATGCATCCGTTCTGCGAGGAGATCGGGATGCATCCGTTCTTCGAGGAGATCAGGATGGGGGAAAGAAACTGTCCCCTCTGGAGGGACGTCGGTTTCTCTCCACAGAGGACATCTCAGCAAGTTACGATCCGCAAACGTTCCTTTGAAGGCAACACTCAGTGCAAAACCTCAAATCTGTATAACTAGCTACCGTTTAACTGCTATTTTTTAAAATAATGTATGTACTTTGAAGTATCAAATACTTATAAGTATTTATTAATTTATATCACACCTTTTCTCTGGTTAGTTCAGGACAATTCATGGCTCCTCCTCTTTATTTTCCAAACAATTCTTTGTAATATCGATCAGACTAAAAGAATGTGCTGATGAGTAAATTGTCCAAGTCTGGTACAGTACTCTAATCATTTTGTTACCTTGCCTCCAGCTCTGATATTTTAACAGCACAATCCTTACCGTGTTTACTTTCATTGAAGCAACTGCTCAGTAAGGTTTTTCAGACCACAAGCGATTTATAGTTGGATCTGAAAGTTATTTTATTAAAAGCAGATCACTAAAGGACAGAAAACCCAACAGATGAAACTTTTGTTAGGATAACGGTGTTGACTTTTGCTGTTGCTGCTACAAAAAGCATCAGTTGACAAAGTGATGACCTATTACATTTTTTTTACCTTTCTGAAATTCTGACAGTCTGAAACATGAGACTCTTCTGTGAAATGAAGATGTATTCTCTCTCTATTAGAATAACCCATTGCATCTTAAAGTTTAAGACAGTTGCCAGGTGAAAGAAGTTAAACCCTCTTTCACACTCACAGCATTACTCATACATGAACAAAGGAACCAGTAGAATAGATACTATTATTTTCACAGATCACATGAGTCCACAGAGTGTAGATTCCCAGTTCCATTTAGTGGGGAGTTTTTAAAAATGATAGCCTACAATAATGTATGGCCTACGTTTTAGTTGATGTACAGTATAGTCAAAACACTACACATTCATAATAAACAAACTTAGAAGACATCAGAAATTTGTGATGCAAATGCTTCAACAATGAAACTTACCCACCTAGATCAAAGGCATCATTTTATGAACTCTGAGGCCAGAAACCTGTTAAAAAATTTTGCTGGCACAACTGATGTTGCACTGTTTACAAGATATCTTGCACAGCAGGTTGTGGAACAGCAATGCTCAATCATTTGCACAACCAGTCATGCAACAGATATTAAATATCACAACCACTTGTACATCATTAGTTGAACATGCCAGAATCCTCAACAGGATACTGGAAAATAGGTTAAATCCAGTTGCTGAATCAATGAGACTTAACATACTGTATGTGTTCACTTAGCCAGTTCTAACAATTTAATGTATTTGAATTGCAGCTGTGAAAAATACTTATTCTTTAACTAATTAATTCAATATTACAGAAAAGTTAGTGTGGAATGAGAAAAGAATTAACCTGTGTGGTATATATATAAATTCACAACAAATGGAGTCAATAAACGGAGTAGTAATGAAGCCCAGTACCACACAGGTTAATTCTCTTCTCTGTATATTTAGGAAACATGGTCTGCTCAAACACAAACATCCAAGAAATGCAAATGCTTATATAGAGCAAGTGAAAAAATGATGAATTTGTTTCCATCCATGAGGTCTCCATGAAAATCAAAATATTGGTACATCATGGAAAAAAATTATGGCAAAATGGGTGTACATACAGTACAAGATAAATATTAGTTATAAGATCACGAGAAATCTAAGCTAAAGATTGATTTTTCTAACTGGCTTCCTACTGAAATATAGTACATAAACTTACAAGCACATGATGTGGTGCAAACATTTTTATTTTATTTTTATTTATTTATTAAGCATATATGCTGCCTATTTAGACGTAGTCTACTCTGGGCGGCTCACAAAACACAGAGTAAAAACAGTTAATATACATTGACAATTTTCAACATTTACATGTATACAATAGACGGTAGTTAAAAATAAGGAAAAGAAGAGGTACTGTAAGTTAAATAATGTCCGGAGGGAAGGCCTGTCTATATAACCAGGTCTTGAGTTGGTTTTTAAAAAGTCCCAGGGAGGGGGCCAAACGGATCTCGGGGGGGGCGGAGTTTGTTCCACAGCCACTGCTGAGAAGGCCCAGTGTCTTTTTTTTTTCCAGGCCTCCCTCGATGTTAGACTCCTCAGTCGCCCCTCCTGGCTAGATCGGGTGGTAGGAGTAGAACTAGGTGGGAGGAGGTGTTCCGCAAAGTATTGCAGTCCTAAACCGTTTAGGGCTTTGTATGTGATCATTAAAACTTTGAAATCAATGTGGAATCGAATGGGCAGTCAGTGCAATGTGGCCAGAGTGGGAGTAATATGTTGATGTTTCCTAACCCCACTAAGTCTGGCAACTGCATTCTGCACCATTTGGAGTTTCCACATCATTCTCAAAGTTAGCCGCATGTAGAGCACATTACAATGGTCTAAAGATTATGAGGACATGGGCCAAGGTGGTGAGTGCCACCACGTCAAGAAAGGGACGCAGCCAGGCAATCCGCCAAAGATGGAAATAGGCGGTGTGGACCACTGACCTGAGTTTCCATGGTGAGCACTGGGTCTAGATGTATCCCCAAGCTGCGAACCTCATTCTTTGCAGTGAGAGTCACCCCCCCAAAAGAGAGGGAGTTTCCCAAATCACTGAAGGTGGGTCCACCCACCCTCAGGACCTCCGTCTTGTCTGGGTTCAGCCTCGGCCCGTTTTCCTGCATCCATTGCAGTACAGACTCCAGACAGAACTGAAGGGACAGAACAGCATCCGCTGTAGTTGGGGAAAAAAGGATATGTAGAGCTGAGTGTCATCAGCATACTGATAGCACGATGCTCCACACCTCCTGATAACCTCACCCAGCGGCCTCATATAGATATTAAACAGCATTGGGGAGAGGGTCGAGCCCTATGGAACTCCGCAATTGAGGCTCCATGGGGCCAATCCCTCTCCCCAATCTGAACTCTCTGAGGGCGGTCCTCCAAGTAGGATCAGAAGCAGGCCAATGCCAGGCCATCAATTCCCAGCTCGGAGAGCCTCCCCAGGAGGATACCATGGTTGACGGTATCAAAGGCCGCTATTGAGGAGGACCAACAAGAATGTTTCCCCCCTGTCAGCCTCCCTCAATAGGTAATCTACCAGGGCAACCAATGCCGTTTCTGTACCGTGGCACATCCTGAAGCCCGACTGGGACGGATCCAGGGCTTGCCTAAATACATTAAAATATGGCTCTTCATAGATCCTGCCAGCCATTTCTATAAGGTCTTCCACTGTCAAAGACTTTGAATGCTGTTTTTTCCCCTAGCAAACAAACACAGTTCCACATATTCCTTTGCACTCATACATTAGGTTCCAATCAGTCCTCTCGATATCTCATACATGTGTGTGAATCATCTTATGTTAGCTACATAAGGACTGGCATAAGAACAGGTTTGCAGTATATATGCTTTTGCTGCCACAATATCAAACTAGTGAAATTTACTGTTCAGAAACCAATAATAATAAAAAATAATAATCATGTGCCATAAAGTTGATTGCAACTTCCCAGGATTTTCTTGGTAGAGGATGCACAACATTGGTCTACCATTCCCCTCTTCTGGGGGCATCCTGGTACTGTGCAGCTTGCCCATCACTATACTGGCTGGCTGTTCTCCCAGGAGGCACAATCTCTGTGGCTCTGCAGCCAGATACCTAAGCCGCTGAGCTATCCAACCAGCTTTCACAAATCAAAAGCAAGTATATCTGTGAAGATTCTGAGTCATCCAGATGAGGTTATCTGGAAGTTGAGTCATGGCAACTGGACTTCTTCCTTATTAGGTTGAAAGGTTTTGCTACTCATCCAAGTAGGAAGTACCATATTTTTCTGTGTATAAGATGCCCCCATGTATAAGACGTCCCCCCCCACTTTTCTAATCCAAATTTAAGAAATCTAAGTGGGGGCTTAGCAAGTGTAGGGGGAAAGGAATCAAAGCATTGCAGGATCGCTTTGATCCCTACTTTCCCCTCCACTTGTTTCTGTTCTCTCCTCAACTTACTTTCATGTATAAGACGACCCTCAATTTTTAGTCTAAAGATTTTAGACAAAATTATAGTCTTATACATGGAAAAATATTTCAACTTATTATTATACAAAGATTTACAAAGTACTCAACATGGCATGGCATTGATTTATTGAAATCATTGACTGCTATTGGCTTCTCTGCAGAGAGCAAAGGCACTAATAGATATAAGTGAGAGCAAGAATCAAATTTTGCTGTGCCTAGACACAAGGACAGGTAAACTATTTCGACAGAGAAATGGATTTGTATCAGTTTAGATGGGCACCAAAGGTACCCATGGCTTATGTACTGATTACCCCAATTTCAAGGGAGAAAGGCGCAGTTTGCCTCTGATGGTCTGCCTAATTGCAATACAGTCAACCCTCGACTTACAAACTTAATCCGTTCTGGAAGGAAGTTTGTAACTCGAAAAGTTCATACGTCGAATCAGCATTTCCAATAGGAATGCATTTAAAACCAGTTAATCAGTTCCGGCTGTTTTTGGTTCTTAGGTCGAAGGGGCGGTTTGTAACTTGATTCATTAGTTCCCATAGGAACTAACGCAAAGCCGGTTAATCCGTTCCTACCACTACGGGCAGAAATGTTTTCTTTTTTTTCCTTTTAACCTAAGATGACTTAGGTTAAAAAAAAGGAAAGAAAAGAGGGAGGGAAGGAGGGAACAGACACCTTTTCAACAGAACACCTTGAAAAGCACATTTTAAGCCAAGACAAGCACCTTTTGGGGGGAAAGGGGACAGCAAAGGAGGGAGGGAACACCTTTTAAAAATCAAAAAGTATTTAAAAAAAAAAAGCCAAAAAATGAAAATACCGGTACATTCCATGCAGCACTGTACCAGGCAATACCAGGCAGTATCAGGCATTCTGAAGACTGTCTCCAAATCCACTCTCAAAATGGTGGGAAGAGTGAGGAAG